TGAAAAAATAAAGGAAGTATACCAATCAATTATTTGTCTTGTTTTGTAAATCATCAATTTATTTTATCCCAGCTGTTTTTACCTTGCTACTAAAATCACCTGCAATTATGAGTTCCATGTAGTCTGGACACTAAAACCAATGTTAGTATTTTAAAAACATACCTTAAGTGGGAAGTTACATAACACATTGTAACCCTAAGATACATTTCTTGTATATTGTATATATTTGGAATAAAATAAATTTGCTAATTATCATTTTTACTAATTCCTTCCTAGTTCTTTTCTACTGGTTTTCTTTCCTACAGAGGGAGGAAAGACTCCTTAAACAAATCAACACTAGATTATAAACTCAGTGAGAGTAAGCCTATGCTTTCTCACTACTGCTATAGCTCCAGAACTTAGTATACTTTTTGTTATAATAATAGGAACTCAAAAAATAGTTGCTGATAAATTAACGAATAAAAGAAAAATGAATATTTACATATTAAAGGAGACATCTATTTATGACTAAAGAGTAAGGAGAAAGAATGAGTCTTTAAAAGATATATGCTCTAACAAGAGAGACTCAGCACTTAATCTTTTTAAAAAAATCATTTAAAGGTGACTTAATGATTTTATTAATATTTATGTAATATTTTTTAACAGGGGCAAGGATATTTTTAAAGTATTTTATCCTTTCTAAAACTGACATGTGAAATTTCTTCCTATGCCAGTAATCTTAAATTGATAGAATTGGTAAGTCAAAGAATAAGAAAGTCAAGTTAAAAAATGGTAATGTGCATCACATCACAATCAACCAACAAGTAAGCCATATATGCATTTTCAAAGTACTTTGTGTCAACCTTACAATGTAGATAGAACTGATAGATTATACACCCTCCTTTACAGATGAGGGAAATGAAACATGAAGAGACTGGGTGGCTTGGCCAAGCTCACACTGCTAACCTAAGAAGAGTTGGGATTAATTCAGATCTCTCTACTCTATGAGTCCTCTTAATTATGTTACCTTGAGCACACCATTCTACCCATGCATGGTTTTCTCAGTTGCAAAATGAGGATAAAAATATTGGGTTGCCTTTCTTTATGAAGTTAAAAGGATTAAAATGAGTATTACAAGTGGAAGTACCATGATCAAAGAACACAAATAATACTGAAGAGCTTTTAAATATAGAGCAACCTTCAAAATGCAAACTGATTAAGAGAAGGACACTGGATTGGACAGGTCTAAGGGTTCAGATCCCAGCTTGACCACGTGGCCTTGGTCAATAATTTAACCTCCTTAAACTTCAGTTTTGCCTTCTATAAAATAGTAATACCAACACTTAACATGAAGAGTTTTAAGGATCAAAAAGAAAAGATATGTAAATCACTCTTCTCAGTGTCTGGCACATAGTAAGTATTCAATAAATAATAGTTATTGCTATAATGATTTATATGTTCAGTTTGATTGATGTAGTCCTTAGAACTAGATATTGTTTAGTGGCATTCAGCAAAGTTATCCCAAGTAATTTGATTTAAAGGGCAAAACTATATGCTCCATCCTACTTCAAAATTCCCTTTTGAACAGCTACTAAGGTTCCTAAAGTTGCCATGCAAGCCACAATGGGCAGAACTTACTTTAGGAGTCAAATGCCTATGATTGTCTTTGTTGAAGTTTGCTGTGCAAGTCTGAAGGATCAGTCATTGCTCAGACATCAGTCTCCTACCCTTTAAAATAAGGAGCCCACTTAGATTATTTTGTTAATTTAGAACCATGGACTTCCAAGTTACGGCATGAATGGAATTTAAATCTGTTTCACCTTGGAAAGATAACAAAAACATAAACAACTCCTAAGCCTAGCACAAATTAATTTATTTAGGTATCTAACAAAAGACATGATATTAAAAAGTGGAAAAGAGAACACTTAAGTTTTGATACAGCAGGGAGAAGGGAAAGGCAGATCTCTAAACACGGGATACTGCTTAGAATTAGTTCAACAAAGATGAGCTGTTTAAGAAAAGGGTAGGAAGCTAAGGAAGAATCTTAAGTGGGACTCCTCAGCAGACAAGAGAAACAAGTCACGAGAAAAGTAAATTATAAATGAATATCCCTGATAAACATAGATGCAAGTATCCTCAACAAAATATTAACAAAATGAACTCAACAATAAAGTGAAAGCATTATACACCAGGATCCGAACATTCCATGCAAAAGTAACAAAATACACATTCTTTTCAAGTGCACATGGAACACTTTTCAAGACAGATCAAACGTTAGGCCACAAAAACAAATCTTAAATTTAAGAAACTGAAATCATTTCAAGCATCTCTTGTAACCATAGAGGTGTGCAACTAGAAATTAATTAAATGAAAAAGAAACTGAAAAATTCACAAATATGTGGATATTAAACTACATGCTACTGAGTAATCAATGGATGAAAGAAAAAATAAAAAGAGAGATAAAAAATATCTTGAGACAAATGAAAATGTAAATATAGCATACCAAAATTTCTGAGATACAGCAAAGGCAATTCCAGGAGGGAAGTTCATTGTGATAAATGCCTACCACAAGCAACACAAAAAGTCTCAAATAAGCAACTTAACTTTACACCTCAAGGAACTAGGAAAAAAAACAATCAAAGCCCAAAGTTAGTAGAAGGAAGTAAATAACAAAGAGTACAGCAGAAATAAATGAAATAGAGACTAAAAAGATAATAGAGACTAATGAAACTAAGAGCTCGTTCTTTGAAAGAGAAACAAAATTGACAACCCTTAAGTATATTCATCAAATAGATAAATACACAATAAATACACAAAGGACACAAATAAAATCAGAATTGAAAAAGAAGTTACAACTGATACCACAGAAACATAAGGGATCATGAGACTACTACAAACAATGATATGTCAACAAATTGGACAACGTAGAAGAAATGTATAAATTTCTAGAAACATATATCTTACCAAGACTGAACCATGATAAACAAAAAATGAGCAGACTGATTACTAATAGGGAGACTGAATCATTAATCAAAAATCTCCTAGTAAACAAATCTGCAGGACCAGACAGTTTCACTGGTGAATTCTACCAAACATTCAAAGAAGAATTAGTACCAATCCTTCTCAAACTCTTCCAAAATGCAGAATAAGAGAACTCTTTCAAATCTGTTTTATGTGGCCAGCATTACCATGATATCAAAATTAGACAAATATGCCACAAATAAATAAAATTACAAGCTAATACCCCTCATGAATATAGGTGTAAAAATTCTCACAAAATATAAGCAAACAGAATTCAACAATATATTAAAAGTATCATATACCATGATCAAGTGGGATTTATTACAGGCATGCAAGGATGGTTCAACATCCATAAATTAGTCAATATGATACACTGTATTAAAAAATTTAAGGATAAAAATCATATTATCATCTCAATAGACGCAGAAAAAGTATTTGACAAAATTTAACATCCATATATGATAAAAATTCTTAAGAAAGTGACAATAGAGGGAAAGTACCTCAACATAATAATGGCCATATATGACAAGCCCACAACTAACATCATACTCAATGGTGAAAAGCTGAAAATTTTTCCTTTAAGATCAGAAACAAGACAAGGGTGCCTAATTCCACTACTACTATTCAACATAGTATTGGAAGTCCTAGCCAAAACAATTAGGCAAGAAAAAGAAAGAAAAGGCATCCAAATTGGAAAGGAATAAGTGAAACTGTCACAACTTACAAATGACATGATTGCGTATATAGAAAACCCTAAAGACTCCATCAAAAGACTGTTAGAACTAATTAACAAATTCAGTAAAGTAGCAGAGTACAAAATCAAGATACAAAAATCTGTGGTGTTTCTATACACTAATAGTGAACTATGAGAAAGAGAAATCTTTTTTTTTTTTTTTTTAATTTTTTTTTTAACGTTTTTTTTTATTTATTTTTGAGACAGAGAGAGACAGAGCATGAATGGGGGAGGGGCAGAGAGAGAGGGAGACACAGAATCGGAAACAGGCTCCAGGCTCGGAGCCATCAGCCCAGAGCCCGACGCGGGGCTCGAACTCACAGACCGCGAGACCGTGACCCGGGTGAAGTCGGACGCTTAACCGACTGAGCCACCCAGGCGCCCCGAGAAAGAGAAATCTTAAAAAATCTTAATTATAATTGCATCAAAAAGAATAAAATACCTAGGAATAAATTAACCAAGGAAGTGAAAGACATGTATATTGAAAACTATAAGACATTAATAAAAGAAATTGAAGAAAATACAAATGGAAAGATATTCTATGCTCATGGATTAGAAGAATCAATATTGTTCAAATATCTATACTACACAAAGCCATCTACAGTACAGTGCAATCCCTATCAAAATGGCATTTTTCAGGGCACCTGGGTGGCTCAGTCAGTTAAGCATCCAACTTTGACTCAGGTCATGATCTTGCAGTCCATGGTTTGAGCCCCACGCCAGGCTCTGGTGTTGACAACTGAGAGCCTGGAGCCTGCTTCAGATTCTGCCTCTCTCTCTCTCTCTCTCTCTCTCTGCCCTTCCCCTGCTCATGCTCTGTGAAATGGGTGAAGAGGGTATAATTTTATATAAAAGTAAAATACACAAATAAATGAATAAGAAGCTAAAAAAGAATCTTCAGTGGGGACCCATCAACACACAAGTGAAATAAGAGTTCATCAAGTATTCGGTGAACAGAATGCTAAAGAAAGTTAGGGTATAACAAAATATAAATGTTCTTACTTCACAATTTTGCTTATAGTTTATAGATAACAAAGATTTGGGTCTCTATATCTTTTAAAATTTTAGTTCCAATAGGAACTCAAAAGCAGACTTGGATGCTGATATAGTCTTTCTCATTTCAGTGATCAGCATTTAAATATAGTCCTTAATAGCCTTTAACAGAAACGCGCATTTGTGTGGGACATAGAGATATGATGTGGACATATTTTTAAATCACTTTTGAACCAATCCACTTTCATTCTGACAGTGTTTTGTGGTATCTTACCGGTTCTCCTTTATCCCCTTTCTGACCAGGTGAGCCTGGAGTTCCTGGAAAACCCGCTTCTCCCTGAGCAAAAGTGAATTTCTGTGTTATCAAACATTCTGTCACATTGAGCCAAAGACTAATAATTTGTAAATATGAAGGTGACAACAGTAGGATAAAGCTTTACTCTCCTCTGAGCTGATGGCGGTCCCTCTGCTGGAATGCCCTTCCCTTGTTCAGGAGGCTCATTACTCTCCGTCTTCCAAACACCATTTGACATCATCTCCTCCATGAGACTTTCCAGGACCTTGAACACATGATGCTCCCCTATGGCCCTGCACCTGCCTTTCTCATGGAGCCTATGATACAGTGTTGGTCGCTACAAGAAATGTGAATTTCCTCTAAACTTTACCTCACCCGTATACCCCCTCCTCCAACCAAGAGCAAAGGGGTAGCAGGATGCGTTAAGCCTCTAAGGGGAAGTAAGAAGCGACAGTGCCAGGGGACATTCTGCTCTAGGAACCTCTTTCCTTTCCCAGGTAAGGGTATAGAGTAAAACCATCAAGAAATCACTCAGCCTACTTTTAGCATAGCCTCTTGACTGCCATTACTATTCACAAAAGAAGTTTATGTCGGTCCACGGACCCACTCTTCCTGACCAGGTGACTGTAGTGGTACCAGAGAAGCAACTTCTTTGAGTGATATTCTCTATAAATTCTCTACGCAAGTTATGGCAAAAGGAGATGGCTGGCTGGATATTTGGAGATACTGGACAAACAGCCTCCACACAACAAAGAAATACCATATAGGGTATTTTTGTGTACGTGTGGAAGAGCAGGCACTGTTTCAACTGTGAATTCCCAAAACTGAAGCTTACTCCTGGCACATGCTAAGTACTCAATATTTGTCTATTGTACAGGTGGGTCCTCCCCTTACCTTTCTATCCATTCTCATTCATAGCCTGGAAAGTCTATGGCTTCAGAACTAGCCAGAAAACAATGCATGAAATCCTTTCTCCAATTACCTTCTCATAATCCATCCCAGCGACTGAATGGCTTATGCTTTTGATTCAACTAACATTAGAGGTCAAGATACATTCTGTGCACTGGGGCCACATTCAAGGGGATGGCTCGCTTTGTGCAGTGGCTTCTCAGTGGGCATAGATTAAAACTAGCAAACCTTGTTTGGAATGCACTGGCACCGGTCTTGAAGTCCCTCCTTTGCTGGAAGATAGGCAGACAGTTTACTGGCATGAGCGGGTAACAGTGATGATGCAGTGCTTCCAAAGCCATCATAATCTGGACACTAAAATCCAGAAAAATGAATAGAGTTAATTCCCAACATTCCAGCATCCCAAATACTGGCTCCCACCAAACTAGGGATGACTGGAGTTGCCTGAAAGAACCACCTTCTAATTAGCCAAAAGTTGATACAGGTATATGAAAGTTGATAATGTCTTTTGCTCTTTCACTAGGCCTCCAATGTGTTTTATTACACTACAACATGTTAGAAATGCGCTAAAATTTGTTTTGATGAGGAATTCTAAAGCTATTATAAATGACTTTATGATAAGTACAGAAATATCAAATATTTACAATAACTGAATTGTTACCATAGAATAGTTATACACATTACATCTGTATACGTTTTTGTGGAACAAAATTTAAAATAAAAGCAAGTGACTTGAACTTTTAGAACATCATTTACTCCTATAAGATGAATGTAAAGGCATAAGGAGCTTGGTAGCTTTGGTAGGCAGCCATTGCCATGATGACCCTGAGGGCCTGGTGGCTAACCGAGGTCGGTGCTTCAAGTGGGCCATTGAGCCAAGCGGGCCTGGAGGAGGCAGCAGGAGCCAAAGTGACCAGGGCAGTAGCCAGGGAGACTCACTGTACCCTGACAGTTGCTTGGACAAGCAAGTGCCTGCCTGAAACCAGCATGCAAGAGACAGACGGGATTCTAGCGGAGAAGTGCTACTGGAACATTGCCTTGGGTCCCTTCAAGCAGATTCCCATGAACCTCTTCATTATGTATATGGCAGGCAATACTGTCTCCATCTTCCCTACTACAGTGGTGTGATGGTGGCTTGGGGGGCCTATTCAGGCACTTATGGCCATTTCAGCCACTTTCAAGATGCTAGAAAGTTCAAGCCAGAAGTTTCTGTAGGATTTGGTGTATTCTCAGAAACCTCACGGGTTTGGCATGGACTGTTTATTAGTGCCAGTCAATGGGACTATTGCCCACACATGCATCAGATTGGTTAGCCCTCATTGAGCCCCCAGAGAGGATGGGGTTCAGTGGTGGAGAACTGCTTCTGTGAACCTGAGAAAGAACTACCTGGTCCTACATCCTGGGATCTCATGTACAACCTCTTTATGCCCAGAGGCTCCCCCTCGGCATACAAACTCTTAACATCATCATTCAAGCTGGGAAGAGCCCAAAGCTCCCTGCTCCCCATGGTGAGGAGGCAAACCCCAGAAAGACAAGTATGTATCACTATGAACACAAACTACACCATAACCCTTGACTGAAAATAATGTAGAAAACTGTATTTATGGTTCCAGGACAGAGCAAAACAACAAATGAAACTGTAACTCTAATGAAACAAAAGAATTCCTGCTGCTAAATCAAGACCCACAGCAGCAGCTCCTTTCAATAAATTGCATGGTTGAGAACAATGCTTAAAAAAAAAGTGGCACAAGTTTCCCTTAAATCTATTCTCCTTAATATTTCACTTCTATTTAACATAAACTGGGACATAAAAATTCTGTTGGAAACACTTTGGAAGATGTGAGAAACTAATGCTAGATTCAGATTACACATGATGAAAAGAAAAACAAAACAGACACAAAGAGCAAATAAAAAATACTTTTTACACTCCAAGATGCTATATATTTAACTAAAGTGTATCTTATTCTACTCCATTGTCCTTTAAAGTTATTAAAAAGTCTACACTATAACAGATGAGTGGCAAAATTTATACTTTATCAGTGGGTTCAGAACATGTGGGATAACATGAAGTGAAACTCAGTTACAGAGAAATGACTTTTTCTCTCAAAAAATAAATCCAGATGGGAGGATAAATGTATCCTCTCCTATCCCATCACTTACCAGTGATTATTATTAATAATTATTAAATTAATAATTAATAGTTTCATAATAATTATTTCATAATTTCAGGCTCCTCATCAGGGTTTGTAACTGTGAATTTGTAATTTTATGCTTGCAATTTCATAACTCTGAATTTCCAATTTAGGTGAAAGGGCTCACACATTACTTTACATATTACAAATTATATATGCTTGGAAAAATATTGTCAGGATAAAAAAAGTAGTAAAGGATGGTTAGTGGTTATTTACTGTGGTGAGACCAAGGTTGATACCTACTTCCTTCTTTAAATTTGGCTGTAGTTTCCAAGTTTTCTATGACAAACATACATAATTTTTAAGACACAAAATTATTTTGAAAAAAATGGGTAGCGTTCCAATGCCTGTGAAAACAACAAAAACTGTAAGAAAAATAGCACCCAGAGACACTGGGATTAGGTTCCCTTGTCCACCACTAGTTCCATCACCTTTACCCTCTCCAGATTTAATAATTGGCTCTTTTGTTACCTTGATCAGTTTCCAAGTCCACAAGTTTCAAGTCACATTAGAATGAAACATGATTATCACCAGAATAGTTCATTTCTCTCATATGATTTGATATGATTTTCTAGTCAGGTCCAGCTCTACTGGTTCCCACTCAGATGACCACAACCCAATTCGAGTTCATAATTTTGCTCTGGATAACTGATTTACTACATTAAATTGGGGATTTAAATGACTTGAAAAGTATGTCTCAGGCTTCACTCTAAAACTGTTCACACTCTCCAAAGAGTGCCTAAAGAGAACATGAAAATGTACAAGTAAGGACTCTTTGTAAAACTTCTGGTTTTGATTGGACACATATTTACTTAATTGGTCCTACAAATTTTAATCACATTTCACATTTATTTTCAACAAATGTTGCTAATTTCCTCCTTCTGCCTATGTCTGTAGTCATGAAACTTGACAGAAACAGAAAATCTAATTAATAGAAGCAAAGAAGTATATTTACAAATTATCTTGAATAAATTTTACCCTTGAAATATGCTATAAACTATTAATAACAAAAAACATGTCTGATTTGAAATTCCAAGATAAAATTAAATTTTTAAGGAAGCACATTAAAACTTTCTGAATTCAATACATTTAAAAAAAAAAAGTTGGTGTCAGAATTATAACAGATGCACTTAAATGGCTTTTATATAATTATTTATCTTCCCATTTGTAAAATGTAGCATGTTTCTATTTTCTGTTACTCATTAACAGAATGGTGATGTCCCTTCAAATAATTATCATCAGGAAAATAGGCAGGTTTTTGTTATTTTTTTCTTACGGTTGGAGATGAATTCCTACCTTCTTTTCCACAATTTAACTCCTAAGTAACATTTTTAAAATGTGAATATGGGGCGCCTGGGTGGCGCAGTCGGTTAGGCGTCCGACTTCAGCCAGGTCACGATCTCACGGTCCGTGAGTTCGAGCCCCGCGTCAGGCTCTGGGCTGATGGCTCAGAGCCTGGAGCCTGTTTCCGATTCTGTGTCTCCCTCTCTCTCTGCCCCTCCCCCGTTCATGCTCTGTTTCTCTCTGTCCCCAAAATAAATAAACGTTGAAAAAAAAAATTAAAATGTGAATAACTTTTTTCCCATAATTTATTAAGTTACATCATTGTTTTTAATAATCAAACCATTCCACTAAATCTATCACCTATACTTCCTTAAACAGTTTTCTCATAATTTGTATTGAAAATATCTATTATGTGATGACACAGAGTAAAAACTACTAGTCAAGAAAACAACTTTCTTTTTTTCTCTTTCTTTCTTTCTTTCTTTCTTTCTTTCTTTCTTTCTTTCTTTTTCTTTCTTATGTTTATTTATTTCAGAAAGAGTGAGAGAAAGAAAGAGAGTAGGGCAGGGGCAGAGAGAGAATCCCAAAGAGGCTCCATGCTGTCAGTGCAGAGCCCAACATGGGGCTTGATCTTACAACCCATCATGAGATCGTGACCTGAGCTGAAATCAAGAGTTGGACACTTAACTGACTGAACCACTCAAGTACCCCAAGATTCAGTATTTAGATATATCAAAAAAATTTTATGCTACTTTTTAATCAGGAAAAATTATTATTTTAAAAGCTCTTACATCCTAAAGGAATAATTAATTTAAAAAATAAGCTTTCAGAGAATTAAACACCTTCAAAATTTACATATGTGGCTCCAGGAAGTCTCGGTATTTCAGGTCTGTAGATTGGCATTATAAATTATCTTTTTAGATATTTATAGAATGATATTTGGCTGGTTTTCATTTTACTTGGAATGAGAGCCATAAACTGGTTTGGAGATATGCTTTATAAAACCAAGTTACATAAGTAAAACAAGTAATTTTGAAAGACTTAGATAATGCTTTAAATCAGCCACATTATTATCCTACTATTCACAGTGGGAGACAGAAGTTAAAAATATTTTTGAATTACTAAGTTATTGATAAAATTTTCATACAATTTTGGATGTAAGTATAGAAGTTCTGAAAAGTCTAAGATACAAAGAAAAACATTTCACCTTTTCCTTTTACTTTTCATATGTTCTCTCTGTAAGACTTTTTAAAATTAATCCCTGTTAAACACTTTTTGTCCCATCTACCTGCTTTAATAGTTGATAAGTCAACAACTTAAGAAAGTGTTTTGACTGTCTTCTAGAAACAAAGCTCTAGGAATAGAAAAGCATAGCATGAGGGGAACCTGGTGGTTCAGTCAGTTAGGGTCCAACTTTGGCTCAGCTCATGATCTCATCGTTCCTGAGTTCGAGCCCCATATCAGGCTCTGTGCTGACAGCTCAGAGCCTAGAGCCTGTTTCGGATTCTGTGTCGCCCTCTTTCTCTCTGACCTTTACGCATTTGCACTCCGTCTCTCTCTCTCTCTCTCTCTCTGTCAAAAATAAACATTTTAAAAAATTTAAAAAAAAAAAGTGGAGCATGAAAGTGTAACTCCCCTCAATGAGCTTAAAATGGAGTTGATTAAATAAAAACAAATGCAACTGTATCTAATAACATAAGATAGTGCACCTGATCACTATAATGAGAACTACAGAAAGCGCTGAATTCAGTATTTTTTTTTTTTGGAATGGAATATTGGTACAAGAAATTAACAGTTGCACAGTTAGGTTGGGAATATTAAGAATGAGAGGCTGAGTAACCGAGTTTATATTCTGTTACCAACAGGGAGTGACCAAAGGTTTGGGGAAAGAGATGAACAGCAGGCAGTGAATGTGCCTTATTCATGACTGTTACAGCCTTGTTCTTTAGCACAATGTCTAGAAGATCGGTGTTTTTGAATAACAAGTGTTTATTGAGAGAAAATAAATGCATATACAAAGCAGTGATTCAGAGACTTATTCTGGTTATCTTGAAATAAAATGGTGTAGAGACTGGAAAGGCAGTTGACACGATAATGCAAAAATCCAGTCAGGAGATAAAGGCAGACCATGTCAATAAAAGGGAAAAGGTAGATGAAAAATCTATCACAAAGGAAAACTATCCAAGATGGATAACAAACTAGAAGAGGAAAGCGAGAAAGAGTAACATATGATTACAGATTTAAAATTCCTGCAACTGGAAAATGATGATGTTACCATTAGAACATATTTTAAGGAGAAAGTCATAAATTCCCTTTATGTCAAGTCCAAAGTGAGGACATACCATTCCCCAAGTTCAAGACAATACACTGGGATTCACACTGTAAAAAGAAACTATGTGAGAGCACTATAAGGGGTGTCTTACTGGGAACAAATTACTCACCTGGCTTCAACAGAAGACACTCAGGGCTGCTCTACATCTACACTCTACAGACTGCATTCTTCACATGCTACGAAAACTAACTTACCTTAGCATCTGATATTTCGCAGCATGTTTCTTGGGCTATGAAGTTTGAGTTACAGTAGATTTTAAGTTGATGAAGTTCAATCTATTAAAAAAGTAGTGATAAGACACATCATTAGTTTTCTTGAAAATCACATTTAGGCACTTAAAAGCTATGGTAATTTAACTGGAAAGATAAAAAGAAGCTAATACAAATAAGTTATTGGTAGATATTTTGAATGTTTTTATTTAATTTAGGATTCATGATTTTATGGACCATTAGAGAAAGAGGCATGGATTCAATTATTGAGATAGATCTCTGTATGAAAGAAATCAGATAATGAAGGCAATTGCAAATTTTTGCTAGTTGTTTCATACAAAAAAGAAGTATTTAATTACAAGATAGGTATTGTTACTCATTACAATAAAGTATGCCCACAAAATAAGAAATATTCCAAAGTAAAAAATTCTGGAGGAAAAGTAAAGTCAAAGGAATGAACACATGATGGAAAAGGCTTTCTCAGTACCTCTAGATCTCTTATTTGAGGCACTGAAACAGATGCTTACTTCCCAACAAGAAAAAAAAAAGAGAGAGAGAGAGATTTGGTTTTCATCTTTTTCATGCATTCTAATATCTATGGGGTAATCCTAAGCCACACTCACAATCTTTTTACAAAAATAATAGATTCCTTCTCTTGGCTTAGCAGATTCACGTTTTTTGGCATTGGACATGAAATATAAAATAGTAAAACTTTGGTTTGTGAGCATAATTCATTCCAGAAACATGCTTATAGTCCAAAGCACTTGTATATCAAAGCAAATTTCAAAAACCATTGGTTCAGTTGTGATCATATGACATTCGCTGTCATATATTACTTATATTGCAAGACATTGCTCATTTATCAAGTTAAAATTATTATCAAAAATGTTTTCTCATCTTGTGGAACAAGTTACTCACAATCCGAGATTTTACAGTTCAAAAAAGGTACAATCATGCCTTTAAATGCAAAAGCAAGGAACCACATAAGAATAATAAAGAGTATTGACAGAATTTCAATATGACAGACATGTAAATTGGCTATTTTAAATTAGTCTGTGGTTGCAAATTTAGTAGTTTAAAATAAATCCTACAATGATTTGACATATTTGACACAGGTCAGAAACAACCTCTCCTTTCATCCCTATCTTCTTCCTCCTGCCTGCCCTTCTCTTTCTCTCTCTGTCTCCACCTCTTCCTCTGTCTCCCAATATTCCAGAGCTAAATTATGCATTACTTTGATAACAAGATGTACTTGTTATAGAGATATCCAACTGTTATATTACAATAATTAATCCTACCATAATGAAAAGCAGATATCTTCAGTTATTTTGAAACTCTGCCCAACACCAAATAGCACACGGGTAGAAAAAAGGCTGTAACTATCACTCTACACTGAGATGAACAAAATCAATTCAGCTCATGAAACATGTTAAGAACTCCAGACATCTTGTGAATTCACGAGCAGTCTTAATGATTTCTTTTGTGTAACTTTTTGCAAGATATTGAAGTTAACTTTTGTTTGTAAAGTTTAAATACACTGTCTTACATAGTCTAATGAAAAGCCACATAGTAACATACCCACTAAGTAGAATAAAGAATGGGGACTCCAATTAACTTTCTTCCTAAAGAAAGTTAATGATTAATCATCATCATTGTTACCAAAATAGCCAATAAATATTAAAACTCAATTATATACCATCCACTCTACTAGGCCCTTTATATGAATTATTTTACTTAACTGAAGATAGATGACCAATTTTTGACAGATTAGAAACTAATCAATTAACATGACATTGAAACTACATTCCTAGTTTAATGATGCTTTATTATTCATTAGTTACTTTAGAATCCTTCATTGACAACAGTACTTTATAAGGACAGTGTTCAGGGCTAAGTCTATACTGGCCCTTGTCACACAGAATTTGTTAAAAAAAATCCTTTATATCAGTTTTGTCACCTACCTCTTTCTCACAGTATACATGGACAGTATACATAAAATAAACAAACTCAATTATTATGATTTTCTTCAATAACAGACATCCTGAATAAATAAAACATTTTTACATTACAACAGACCTTAAGAATCATAGAGCCTGTATGGAGATGATGAAAAATTAGTCCACTTAAACTTTTAGTAGGACCAAGAATCTTTATTTATTTATTTATTTATTTATTTATTTATTTATTTATTTATTTTTCCAAGAATCTTTTTTAAGTGTTTATTCATTCATTTTGAGAGAGACAGAAAGAGAGAGAGAGAGAGACAGAGAGAGAGAGAGAATGTGAGTCGGGGAGGGGCAGAGAGAGTAGGACAGAGAGAGAATCCCAAGTAGGCTCTGTGATGTTAGCACAGAAGTGGATGCAGGGCTCATCTCATGAACTGTGAGATCATGACCTGAGACTAAATGAAGAGTTGGACACTTAACCTACTGAGCCACCCAGGTGCCCCAGGACCAAGAATCTTTATAGAATAAAATATGTATTTTATTTGTAACTCAAACACTATCTCATTAAAAAGCTGCATCATAATATGGCTTTAACATTTTTTATTTTTGTCTTTTTTTCATTTATTTATTTTTACATTTTTAATTCCAGTGTATTTAACATAAAGTGTTATATTAGTTTCAGGTGTACAGTATAGTGATTCAATAATTCTGTACAATATTCAGTGCTCATTGTAATAAATGTACTCAATTCCCTTCCCCTATCTCCCTACTCACCCATCCCCCACTCATTTCCCCCTCTGGTAACCATCAGTTTCTTCTTTATAGTTAAGAATCTGTTTTTTGGTCTCTTTTTTTCATTATTTGTTTTGGTTCTTAAGTTTTACATATGAGTGAAATCTTATGGTATTTGTCTTTCTCTGACTTATTTCACTCAGCATTATACTCTCTAGGTCCATCCATGTGTACCAAATGCCAAGATTTCATTCTTTTTTTGTGGCTGATTTATATATATATATATATATATATATATACACACATATATATATGCATATTATATACATATATACACATATTATATACATATATATAAATTATATAATTATATAATATTTCTATATATATTTCTATATATAATAAATATATACATATAATATTTCTATTCTTAATTTTTTGAAGAATCTCCATACTGTTATCCACAGTGGTTGCATGAGTTTGCATTTCCACCAACAGTGAACAAGGGTTCCTTTTTCTTGGCATTCTCACCAACACATGTTGTTTTTTGTGTTTTTGATTTTAGCCATTCTGACAAGTGTGAAGTGATATCTCTGTGGTTTTGACTTGCATGTCCCTGATAATGAGTGATGTTGAGCATCTTTTCATGTATCTGTTGGCCATCTGTATGTCCTCTTTGGAGAAATGTCTGTTCATGTCTCTGCCCATTTTTTAATTGGATTATTTGTTTTTTTGTGTGTTGAACTGTATAAATTCTTCACATATTTTGGAAACTCACTCTTTACCAGATATGTCATTTGTAAAAGTCTTCTCTCATTCACTAGGTTATATTCTAGTTTTGCTGATAGTTACCTTTGCCGTGCAGAAGTTTTTATTTTGAAAAAGTGCATTAGTTTATTTTTGCTTTTTCCCCTGCCTCAGGAGACATGTCTAGAAAAATGTTGCTGTGGACAATGTCAAAGAACTTACTGCCTGTGCTCTCTTCTAGGGTTTTTATTGTTTCAGGTCTCACATTTAGGTCCCTAACCCATTTTGAGTTTATTTTTATGTATGATACAAGAAAGTGGTGCAGTTTCATTCTTTTGCACATGGCTGTCCAGTTTCTCCAATGCCATTTGTTGAAGAGTCTTTCTCCCATTGCATATTCTTCCCTCCTTTGTTAAAGATTACTTGACAATATAATTGTGAGTTTATTTCTGGGCTTTCTTTTCTGTTCTATTGATCTATGTGTCTATTTTTGTGCAGTACCATAGTGTTTTGATTAGTACAGTTTTTCAGTGCTTCTTGAAATCTGGAATTGTGATACCTCCAGTTTTGTTCTTCTTTTTCGAGATAACTTTGGCTATTCAGGGACTTTTGTGCTTCCATACAAATTTTAGGATTATTTGTTCCAGTTCTGTGAAAAATGCTCTTGGTGTTTTGATAGGGATTGCATTAAATCTATAGATTGCTTTGGGTAGTATGGAAATTTTAACAGTATTTATTCTCCCAATCCACAAACACGGAATATCTTTCCATTAGTTTGTGTCACCTTCAATCTCTTTCATCAGTGTTTTATAGTTTTCAGAGTTCATGTCTTGCATCTCCTTGGTTAAGTTTACTCCTAGGAATTTTATTATTTTTTGTGCAATTGTAAATGGTACTGTACTCTTAATTTCTTTGTCTGCTTCATTATTAGTGTATTGAAATGCAACAGATTTCTATATGTTGATTTTGTATTCTATAACCATACTGAATTCATTTATCAGTTCTAGTAGATTTTTGGAGTCTTTAGAATTTTCTATACATATATATTACCATGTCATCTGCAAATAGTGAAAGTTTTACTTCTTCCTTACCAATTTGCATGCTTTTTATTCCTTTTTCTTTATCTGACTCCTGTGGCTAGGACTTCCAGTACCATGTTGATAAAAGTGGTGGGAGTGAGTAACTTTGTCTTGTTCCTGAGATTAGAAGAAAAGCTCTCCACTTTTCACCATTAAGTATGATGTTTGCTGTGGGTCTGTCATACATGGCCTTTATTATATTGAGGTATGTTCCCTCTAAACCTACTTTGTTGAGGGTTTTTATCACGAATGGAGGTTGACTTTGTCAAATGCTTTTTCTGCATCTACTAAAATGCTCATATGCTTTTTATCCTTCGTCTTGTTGATACGATATATCACATTGATTTGAAAATACTGAACCACTCTTGCATCTCAGGAATAAATCCCACTTGATGGTGGTGTATGATTTTTTTAAATGTATTATTGGATTCAATTTGCTAATATTTTCTTGAGGATTTTTCCACCAATTTTAATCAGAGATATTGGCCTGTAGTTCTCTTTTTTCGTAGTGTCTTTATCTGCTTTTGGTTTTAGGGTAATGCTGGCCTCATGGAATGAATTT